CTCTTCTTAATACAGGTAATAATATTTTAATTCATCCACTTGATAAAGCCGAAGCTTTAAATAATTTCTTTTCGTCTATATCTTATTCTGTCACAGATGATATCAATACTTCAAACCATGAGTTTGACTTACCTCCCCTTAGTCGCCTTAAATTTGATAATACCATAATAACTGATCAGGATGTTCAGGACCAGATAGAATTAACTAATGTTAATAAAACCCCAGGACCTGATAATATTGCAACTAAATTAATAAAAAAATCTATTACCCTCGCTAATATTACCTCTAATTTTTTTCTTTCAAAAAACTATTTCAGAAGGTAGAATTCCACTAATATGGAAATCTTCTAATGTTAATGCACTGTACAAAGGTAAATGCTTCATGGTAGACCCTAATAACTATAGACCAATAGATGTTACTTCATGTTTTATTAAGATCTTAGAAAAAATTGTATTTAACCATGTAACTAAACATCACATAATTAGTAACCATCAATCTGGCTTCCAACCCAAGGACTCAACAGTCAATCAACTATTATCTATATATAATACCATAATTAAAAACTTAGATCAAGGTAAAGATACTAGATTGGTTTTCTGTGATATTAGCAAAGCATTTGAAAGAGTTTGGCATAAGGGATTATTGTATAAATTAAAAAAATATGGAATCTGTGGAAATCTTTTTAATTGGTTTGAAAATTATTTATCAGATAGAAAACAGCGGGTGTTATTTGAAGGGTACAGTTCTAACTTTCAGTCCATCTTTGCAGGTGTTCCACAAGGTTCAATTCTTGGTCCTTTTCTTTTCTCCTTTTTATAAATGACATAACCCATGAGATAAGTACAAATATTAAGCTGCTTGCTGATGATACCTAACTTTTTGTAATTGTTGAAGACGACATGATCGCTCTGTGTATTGCACTGAATGAAGATCTAGATTCTATTAACGAATGAGCAAATAAGTGGAAAATTAAATTAAATCCCAACAAAACCATAGGTCTAACAGTGTCTAGAAGGAATAGAAAGCACCCCCTCTTTTCATTAATAATAAATTATTACCTGATGAAATAAATCATAAACATTTAGGGTTACTTTTTAATTCTAAAGGTACATGGGGGGGGGGTCATATTCATGATATTTTTAATAAAGCTTGTACTAGACTAAACATGTTGAGAATGCTTCAATATAAAATCGATAGAAAAATCATTGGAAACATTATTTTATTCTTATATAAGACCTGTGCTTGAGTATGGTGATATTATCTGGAATAACTGTACCATTGGAGAATCTAGTATGCTTGAATCTAAATTGAAGCTATGAAAATTATATCGGGGTTAAGAAGTGGGACATCTCATCGAAAACTAAACCTTGAGGTAAATATGGAAACTTTAAATTTAAGACGTCATCAACATAAAACTGACTATCTTTATAATATTATTGTACCTTTTATTAATAATGTTAATAACCCATATGGATTGAGGCATACTAGATTCTTTAATGTACCTCAAGCTCGAACTCATATCTACAACACTAGTTTCTTTCCTGATACGATGAATTTATGGAACTTATTAGATTCTTCTATAACATCTGCTAATTACCTTATTTCATTCAAATATAAACTTAATAACTATTATAATAATAAAGTAGATAATATTTCCCTGACCTTAAACAGTGCAATCCTAGGAATCTTAATATAATACTTTGTCAAATCAGGCACAAAGCAAGTAACTTAAACTTCGATAAATTTACTGACCACCTTATTCAAGATGGCAGTTGTTCTTGTGGAGCACCGCGTGAAGATGCTGATATTTTTTTCTTTTTCTGTCCAAATTATTCTGATTTCAGACGGGATTTTTATGAAATATATAATGTAGTAGGATTTATAAGTCTGAAATTACTTACATCAGGAGATAATGAGCTATCACCAGAAACTAATAATTATAAATTATCTAAAGTTGAGAAATTTATTGATTTAATAATCGATTCATCTAACTCGAATATGATAGTATATTTTTATTAAAATACTTCCCGTTATATCAATCTGCTCCGAGTATGTGTGTGTGTGTGTGTGTGTGTGTGGGTTTAGAAGTGTGTATGTTGCCAGTGGCGCAGTACTTGTACTATAACATCGAAAGTGACCTAGATATCTACGCCACTGGTAGAAGAGTGAGCCTTGGTATTAGTGTGTGTAGTTTAAACATTCAGCCATATCATTAATTCAAACATATATACATGATTTCCATATAAATGTCCATCTATTTCAATTAGTAATTAATTATCGATAATTTTGTAAATATATCTTATTATTCTGTGTAAATGTATATATGTTGTACTGGTTCAGGAGAAGACTTATATAGGCACTGCCCGTTGTCTAATCCTTTTGTAAATTACAACAAAATTTGTTGAAACCAAAGACAGACGTAAAATCTGGAGTCCCGAAGGGAACAGTCATGGGACCTCTGCTCTTTCTAATATACAATCAACAGCCAGACTGTTTGCAGATGATTGTCTCCTCTTCAGGAAGGTACTTACACATAAGGACTCTAGGATCCTTCAGAACGACCTTGACAACTTGCACCAGTGGGAGAACGAATGGCTGATGCATTTCAATCCTGATAAATGGGAGGTACTATGAGTCACCAATAGAAGGAAGCCACTAGATACCAGATCGATGGGACCCCACTTGCCAGAGTTCAGTCAGCTAAGTACCTGGCAGTAAACATCCGTGTCAACCTCAGCTGGTCCAATCACATGGGAACGCTTTCAAAGAAGGCAAAGAACATCGATACATTCTTGAGAAAGAACATCAGAACCTGCCACCTAAGATCAAGGAGCAGTGGTAAGGTCTATCATGGAATATGCTAGCGTTGTATGTGGTCAAAACATACAGCAGGACATCAGAGATAATGAGATGGCACAGAGAAGGGCAGCACGCTTCGTCAGTGGAGACTACAGAACAACCGGCATTGCAACATCAGTGCTGAGAAAACCTCCAGTGGACCACCTTAGATGAACAGAGAAACTGAGCAAAGGTCATCATGCTTTGCTGCATCATTAATGACTTAGTGGTAATACCAGCACAACCACATCTCATTTTTGGAGGGTCAACCATTACAACAAGAGGACATAGTCTCACTTCCACCTGCCATTCTCCAGGATACAAAGCCACCATGCAGCTGTCCATCTTCCCCTTCTGCCATTTGCCTGTGGAATGACTTACCAATCTGAGTCATCTCGGCAGACTCTATTCCGTCTTTGCGTATCACAGTTATCTTCTCTTGGGAGCAGGAATTGGTTGTTACGTCAATTGTTTGTGAGAGTTACGTCATCAATTTTTGGGCAAACGACGTAATTTTCTCGCAGAGACCAATGACGTAACAATCAATACGTGCTCCCAAGAGAAGATAACTGTGATACGCAAAGACGGAATAGAGGTGTTTAAGGAGATACTACAGGACACATGTGATGCTGGGAACAAACCCTGTTTTAACAATACACCAGGGGTGGTATGCAGATTATTTGGAAGGAAGAAGAAGAAGAAGAAGAAGAATGATATTTCATTACCGATTCGGATGATCTTAATAGCGTTTCCGTAGATTTGTCAGTAATGCATATTTTTCACATTTATGTCAGGTTTAATTTATGATGGTATGCGACACAGTTCCTTTCAAACATTTCCATGATGCATGGTAGTTCATCTTTGGAGACGTGTTTGCGAAGAAGATGCTTTTCAATGCTTATAGTTACATTCAAAACAACAACATTCTATTCCATCTTTCCGGTGGGTTATTTCTGTTCATGATTTACACTGCAGATATAGAAGGCATCCAGGTTTAGGACTTCAAATTAAACATACTAGTCTCTTTACTTCTCCTTGGAAGACTTTGTGATACAGGTGGGTGTAGGACTGTCAATCTTGGCAAGGACACTGAAGTGCCAGTCCAACACATTTTTCTATGCCTTTTTCCAGAAACTGCCTAAAGACCTGTTCTCTGCATTTTTCCTGGAACTAAGAGAGTGAAATCACACCCTATACATGTTCCTCTCTGAGCATTTCACCATCTGCACATTTTAACAAAGAGGCCCATTGGGCATGTGTACTGCTTAGGGGATAACCCTACTGTATTTTGAAATTTGCGGCGGTATATCGTGATTATATTGTCGCAAATTGAGTTTCACTGGCGACGCGGAGCGGAGCCAGTAAAGTAAATATTTGCGACAGAGAATCTTCATTTATTATTACATAATATATAATATTCAATTTCCCCGTCTGGGAATGTTTCATGCTGCGCAATTGACAAGTTTCATATCACTCAAATATCAATTCAGTCTTTCTTAAGATTTACACCCAAACCATTTTCCCTATTGGGCACCAGTACCTGCACCCTGAAGGTACTTCCTTCTTTTAAACAAGCTTTTATTTTCCTAACACAGGTAAGGTCCTCACCAAATCGATTCAATATTACTTCATTCATACTTAAATAGTAGTTTTTTAAGATCAACCCCTTTTTTTCTCTCCTTTTTTGGCCCACAAGGATAGTGGGCATCCTTCAATTATACAAAACACAGTTACGCTTGCCAAAAGACAATTCATGCTAAACGAAGTCAACATCCCTTTCAGCCACTCTTGAGTAGTAGTCTTGTGAAGAAAATATTAACAATAGACAGACAGACACTGCCCCATGGCTAGTCAACAGTGTTTCCTTTGCCCCTGACATCAGACTTAAACATTTTGACAGCTAGATGTCCAGTGTGGTCCCATCAGACATCTATCTGTCAAAATGTTTCCAACACCAGACATCTATCTGTCAAGATGTTTCCCACACCAGACATCTATCTGGTGTAGGGGCTAGAGGAAACTTAGGCTACCCCATGGATTAAGCTCACTTGGTCCTTCGGGCCTCAAGTAAGTAAAATCTATGCAAATACAAAATAACACCATTATCTATATAAATGATTTTATTGAAAATTTATCAATTCATTATCAGTTTATTCAAACAATATTACAAAATGATATACACATGACCAAAGATATATTTGATACTAGAACGTAAACATTTTTTGTACATTTTGTGTATACGTACGTGTAAATGAAGATGGAAAAAGGAAACAAGATTTATAATCCATGTGTATCATAAAAGCATGATATATATATAATTCTTACAGTTCTATACATATGTATAGATCAATTTAATTTTATCTGGTGTTCGTCCTTATTTACAAATTTTATTTCCAATATCTCTATAAAATTTCCTGTAATACAACACTCTCAATAAAACAATTTGCGTCTTACAGATAAATACCATTATTCACAATGTTTTCTGATCTGAATTTTTTTAACCTGTTCTAAATAAACCAGATAATTTCTAAGAAAACCCTTTTTTTTTCAAAAACAAAATAATGATATGTGGCCTATGAATTTGTCCCATCAGAAGAAGAAACATTCGTTCTAGACACGTACCGGTACCTATATCATTTGATGAAAAAAAGTCACAACACAGCATTTCTTAAATGAAACACAAGACAAAAAAGACCGGTGTTAACAAGCTTAAAATGATTTTTTTCAAATATGTTCAATTTGAACGAAAATATCTGAGCAAATCAATATTGAATCATCAGCAACGGTTTTGTCCAATAACAAATAATGTAGCAGTTTCAAGAGGTCCAAAGGGCCTGAATAAGTCGCCTGGTCTTTACTTACTTGTATAATGTTGAATATGACACAAGCTGATGTCAATAAAATAACAGTAGGAAAATTTAGTAATGAAATACCGATACATTTATTCCACAATTTACCCTTATCCTCAAATCTTTGTCGACCGTTATAATCATATCTTAGTTCCTCATAGGATATTTTCTGGGGAAAACCTTTGAATTGGAACAGTTCAAATGTGTCTTTAGGGGTGAATGAGTTAAAATCTGTCCACAAAAAAATCTGTTTCAAACATTTACCTCTAAGAGATTCAGAGCCACACCTACCATTTCATTTATACACTTCCTCTTGGCCTTTAGATGCTCCTCACCAAAGTCCATTCAGCCATTCTAGAAAAATTATCTTTAAGATGAAAAGGTGAAAGACTGGAGACGGTGAACAGATAGACGACACACCACAGCATAAATTGGCTTATCCTTAAGGTAGGTGAACTCGTTAAGAAAAAAATACTTTTCATCTACCAACAAGCCAAGCATCTACTAGATCAACAGCAGGAAAGCAATTTATTTCTAGAAAAATATGAAACTTCAAAAGAAAAAAAAAATTACCACTTGGCACTGAATCCCAGTTTGAGATAATTTAGCTGTCAATGTGTTTGACACGGCTAGTTAGTAATCATGAGCATGGAGGCGAAAGGAAACCCCCTGTTTTATAGCCATAAAATCATGTGATTTGTGCACACAGTATCCAGCTGAAAATGCTACATGTGTAAAAAAAAATCCACCCTTGGGCATATATTGGCAGATACATGGAATGGTTCAAGAAAAATATAGTTAACAGTGGGGGATTACAAATCCCTGAAGTGCATTTAATTAATAAGCAAAATCAATTACGAAATGTACAAAAAATATGGTATACATTTGATATGATATATAAACACACTCTACGATATTGAATACAACTGATTATCATGATAACCAAAGGTTAGTACATAAATTGATTCGTGTTTACCAAATTATGGTAAATCATCCGAAAAGAGGAGAACTGATTAATGCCTCTACTAACTCATTTGACACAGAAAATCATTCGCACCTGTAAATTCACCATTTTTCGAGGACTACAATCTACTATGAACTTTAAAAGCAGGTATTATTGAACAAGATTACAATCTACTACATTTACCGTTCTCACTTCACCTTCGTTTTATACTTATACTCATATGAGGACAGATTAAAGCTGGCTACAAAATATCAAAATTAACAAATCTATATGAGGGAGGGCAAATTTGTTTTGAAAGACCCAAGACCTACCATGGGGAATTTTTTTTCGTAATATGTTCAGAATATCCCCCCCCCCCTCCCTCCCCCCTTACTCTACTTATCCTGTCTGGAGAATGTCCGAAAGTGCCTTTGTATGTTTGGTCGACACCCATTCTACTTGATTCAATGCTGATACAGGTAGTTGGTCAGCTGATTACTGACCAGCAGATGACCGATGGTTGACCGCTGGTTTGAAAAGATCACAGATCATACTTCCTATTTCACACCCATTAATGTATTGTCCAACACCATTTCCAGGAACTGTAATTCAAAATATAAATACAAATCAGTGACATAAACAGCTTTCCTGACCAGTAAAACTAATTGCTGGACAGGTAAAAAAAGCACAGAAAGGATATGTAAAGCAGGTTAGAAATATATTTCAAGGAGGTAAAGTAGACTGGCCTCCATCAATATAATTTTGATCACCCTGCGCCTGTTCGTTTATGCAGAACAACTGGTTTGTCCGTTTTTTAAATGTAACAATTTCGGGTATTAATCCTGGCAGACCTGCAAGTGTTTATGCAAACCTTCCAAAGCCTGAAAGCAGAATCAGATTACTAGGTCCGACCCTATTTCATAAACGAACAACCATGGTCCATCCGGTTCAACCGTTTAAATGAAAACGGCCCTGGATGTCTGGTTCTAAACTAAGGGGGATAAGCTAGTAGAAAATGCAGCTGGTAGGCAGCCGGTTTAGAGGTAAAGATATGACAGTGAAGTAAAGAAAGAATATGTATAAAAGGCGATAAATCCAGAAAAATGTAGGTAAAGATAATAAAGAATACAAAGGTGAAAAAAATAAAGACAGAAAGTTTAAACTTTTAAAGGAAGTAATCAAGTAAAGAAGGTAAAGGAAAAAGAAAGACTGAATACATAAAGGAGGATTTGTTGGTTTCTTGCTGCTTGATGTCCTGTTAACTCATTCACCCCTGAAGACACATTCCTTCAATTCAAAGGTTCAAACATTCAAAAATAGTCCATTATAAAATTTCAGGGGTGAATGAGTTAACAGCTATGGTCATCTAAGGACATGCCAGGTTTAGCTGGTGGAAGAAAAACAGGAGGATAAGAAATAGTTGAAACATAAAAGTTGAAGAGGAGGGATTTAAATGAGACATAAGACAAAGATTCACAAAGGAGAGGAAAAGAAGGGAGAGATGAATGTGTGTCAGGGGCCTATTCGTTAATGCGGAACAACCAGTTCGACTTTTTTAAATGTAATATTTTCAGGTATAAACCCTGGCGGACCTGCAAATGTTTATGCAGGTCTTGCAAGGCTTTGTCAAGGCTTGCCTGAAAGAAGCATAAGATTACTAGGTCCGACCTTTTTTTATTTGATAAACGAACAACTGTGGTCCAACCGGTTCAACTGTTTGGATCCCGATAAACGAAAATGGCCCAGGTTTTAAGATAACTTACTGGAGCTGATATCACCATCATTAGAAACAAATGCCACTACTTACCTCCTCGTAACTAATGTTTATCATCCCTCGTTGTTGCGTATCTTTCACTCGAAATTTATCCGTCAATGTTTTAAGCATCACACAGGCTTGAATAAAATCATCAAAATTTATTGTCCGAGAACCTCGTTTGTCAAATGACCGGATGACAATGTTACAAAATTGTGGAGACCTGAAAGATAGAAAAATAAATTGAGAAAAAAAAGTCTCGACTAACTCTCTAGTACCGGAAATTCTCTGGGTAGGATGCTTAACTCAATCGACCCTGAAGACGCATTTGAACTGTTCCAATTTAAAGGTTGGAATAGTGCATTATGAAATTTCAGAGGTGAATGAGCTAACAATTGAAGAAGATGAAATAAAACAATTCCATATAGGGACTATCGAAGACACTATTAATATTGTCCAAGAAGGTAAATCTAATCCGAAATTTGGTTCTCTGAACTCTTTGCCTTCCTGTTGTTCTGGAATAGTCCTGACAGTAATATTACAGCTGTACCAGAAAATCTTAATTCCGGTTTTTGGAAACTTCTCTGAGGTTGAGTTTGGTTTTATAGGGTTTAACATCCTATTAACAGCTAAGGTCATTAACGTCATTAAGAAAGTTCTTTCTGAAGAAAATTCTACATCAGGCTGTAAAGAGCTTCAAAAGAATGATGCTATGTTATAATATATAATGTTTTGAACCCAACATTTGGAAGAAATACCTGCAGAAATACTATATATTTGTTTGTATATTTTATACTTTTGAGTACATACAGCCGATATCCAAATGTCTGGAAGGCAGTACTAAGTTCCCGCTCGTCAATGTTTCCCGATCTGTCCGTGTCAAACCTGATAATAAAGAATGAACAAGAATCTGTGATACATGCACTTGGAATATTAAAAATTTGCATATACCAAAATGAATGTTGTTAAAAAGTTCACCCCTGAAATTTCATAATGAACTATTCCAACCTTTGAATTGGAAGAGTTCAAATGTGCCTTCAGGGGTGAATGAGTTTAAAACATTATAAACACAATTGTTAGGCCTAGTGGTTTGGAATCAATCATATCATATACAGCAAAACCTGTCTATAAGGATCACCTGTCTATAAAGACTATCTGTTCACGTGAATGACCTGTCTGTAAAAAACACCTGTCTATAGATCAACTGTCTACACAGATTACCTGTCCATATAGATCTGTATGAAATGATCACCTGCCTATAAAAACAACCTGTTTCAGGATCACAGGAAACATATGTCTATAAAGATCACCTGTCTATAAAAACAACCTGTATATAAAGATAACCTGTCTTTAGAGACCATCTGTCAGTTAGTGTTTTCATCATGTTTGGGGATGAATAGATGGATCCCCTACCAGGGACAAACTTTTTTGAAAATTTCCCTTTACATCAGAAAAACATGTTTTCTCTTTATGTAACATTCTGGTAAATATCATGTTTTTCTATGACAAATGAGAAGTGATATTAAATCTACTGTTTCAAAAACCTAGAGAAAACACTGGCACTTCTGTCTAGAAAGTAGGTTAAGAATACCTCAATTGATGTTTTTTTTAATTACCAGTCTTATATAACTAAAATCTTACACAAAGTCTTGAGATTTTCTGTCCCCTCCACAAAGTTGGAGGTGACTTTGTTGTATTTTAAATATATATACAATTATGTGTAAAAAGTGTGTATAACTTCACAAAAAAACCCACTTTTTTTAAAATATCATATTTTGGTTAACTTTGCATTTTCCTACACATGAAATAACAATGTGCAGGACACAAAAGATAGCTGTTTCTACTGATTGCCTCAGGGTGCCTCAGCTACCATGATTGCTAACACACTGCTGTGTGCAATCAAGCGTGAGCTTTAGACCACTCACTCTCTAAAGAATTTAGGTTCAATCCCCAGCAGTGGCAGAAAAAAGAGAGTGATGTCTGATAGGGTTAGTTGTTATCCCTCCGATGGCACAGTGGTTTTGTCCCTCATTGCTTTTCCTCCACCACTAAAAAACAACATTTGTTCCCTCAGCCGAGTCGTAAAGCTCTACAAAGCCTATGTTAGTTGTTGACAATGTACACGATGTTAAATAAAGATTATTTATTTATTTGTTTGTTTGTTTACACAAGTAAGAGTAAACATCAATACCTGTCGAAGCATCCTTTCCAATCTTGTACATATTTCCACAGAGCAGCAAACTCCTGAGCGTCTATCGTCCCATTCCTGTAAGATACAAATTAACAGATTAGAGTTCAAAGGTCAATTTGAAGTGTTTTTATAAGGGCTGCAATGATATATATCGCGATATGTTGAATACAGTACGATACACAATGTTTTTTGGGAGGTCATGATTCACCTATGACATTTTCCAGATTTCGTCATTCCTGAAATAAGTCTACTCATATCTGTTCCCACCCGGCGAATGACAGCTCCAACTCGGCATGCACATTGAAAGACATGAATTGTGTGAAACGTTTAAGTCATGCCCATATTGGACCTAGTCTATTTCCTGTTGTAATATTGCCATTAAAAACTTGCAACATATCTTTTTTCTTTGCTTCTACTGTTACTATACGTACCACAGCATCGTGCTATGTAACATATCGTCACGTTAATGAATCGTTGCAGCCCTAGTTTTTATCTAACTCTTTCTATGTATATAACGGTGACCATTTATATTGCACGAAGTTTCGTACACAGGACAGGTCTGTGTTACCATGACTTAGTATACCATAATGGAAATGTCACGGGCAAAGGTTACTTCTAGTTTCTATTAACCATAATAAATATGTCATCTTCAAGTCGACAGAGAAATAAAGTTCATAAACGAAATATATTTACGCAAAGATAAAACCATCATTTGTAGCCACTCATTCTTATTGTAACATAGCCTTGTGTACAATGTCATTAACATAAAATCAGGTCCAAAAGAAATCAGATTCCATATAAGGGCAGAGAGTCCATATAAGGACATAGAGGAAGCTACTTTGATTTCTGTAATTCTACTTTAGCAAACTTCATAGTATCCTCAATCCCCTAGACACCGGCGTTACCTAATGCATGTGTCAAAAACTGAAAAATGTTAACTATAAATAAACTATTTTAAAGACACGCACAGCTATCAAAAGGAATTCTCTACCTGCCTCTATTGCCTCGGCCAATACTGTGGATGAATTACGATCAGCCATCCCAGTAAGCCCAAACAAAAAATATTTGGTGTTTCAGGTAACCCTACCTACCCTATTTTTTTTGTGTCAACCCTAAACTTTTGAAGGTAATTTTCAAAGAAGCACTGTTAAAATCAAGATCGCTCTTCTATATAAACCATATAAAATCATTTTTGAAAATAAAAATTTGTTACCTACCTACTGTACCCTAAATTGTTCCAACATGTTACAGGGAACGCATATATTTTTTTTTGTCTGGCCTTAGCACTCTCCAAACCTTACTCTAAATGCTTTAATATGTTCATATTTTTAACCCATGTATTTAAAAAAAGTTCCACCATTTTTAACCAACTATGACATTAAAACTTCTATTTTGAAGATCTGTCACCTCTGAAGTGCCATAATGATCTATTCCAACCTTTGAACTGGAAGAGTTCAAATGTCTCTTCAGTGGGTGTATGAGTTAAACAAAGTGAACAGAAATGAATTCTGTAAGGAAAACCTACTTCTACAACTCCTTTAACACAGGCAATGCGGGATGCTGAATATGAAGAACTTACTTGTCTTTGTCGAACATTCCAATCATAATTCTGCAGGTTTCAGGGTTAAAGGGCGAGGAGTTGCCATTCAACAGAGCCTGTCTCAGCTCGACAGCAGTGATCTTTCCACTCCTATCCTGGTCAACCGCCTGTAATTGAATTAAATAACCTGTCTCATTCATGAGTTTTTATTTAATTCATCTTCTTCATTCAATTTCACATTTGATTTGATATCACATTATGTTAACTACTGAATGGTCCATTAATACAGAGCAATCTACACAAACCCAGGTTGACTGATGGCTCAATTTATTTGAAAACCATCAGCAATTCTGATTACAAGAACTTCATCAAATTTCATCTATAAATTTGACTGGGCATCAAATTTAAGCAAGGAACTTTTCTTGGTTCATGCAAATATACCACAGTCCTGGAGACAGGCAAGGTTTAGGTCACTTTTGTCCTGCTATTATGAACCAATATGAAGACATACATTTACCTAAAGCTTAAAAGTTGTATTAACACGTCGACAGAACACCGACCTCCGTCAGTGAGACGAAACCGGCATGGGTGGAGTCATGTAGGCGAAAAACCTGTATAGACAAACCTGTTGTTTTATAAACAGGATACAAGGATCATCACCCTTTTTTTCTAAACATTGTATACCTGAAACCAGTGCCACAGTTCTGCACTAACTCCTGGAGGTGCAGGAGGACCATACACAGCTGGGGGAGGTGGAGCGCTCCCCCCGTATCCCGCAGGTTGACCATACATAGGGGGCTGGCCAGGTTGTTGTTGATACCCTCCCAGCTGCTGCTGCCCATACTGTGGAGGAGGTGCCCCCTGTTGACCATAGCCAGGCGGCACCTGCTGCTGTTGTTGTGGAGGAGCTGAAGAATAGCTAGGAGGAGCAGACCCCTGGGGTGGGGCTCCATACCCAGGAGCTGGTCCTCGTGTCGGGGCTCCATACTGTTGTTGCTGGGCTTGACCATATCCACCCTTAGAAAATATAATTGAAGGATAAGGTCACTACTGGTTGGCGACCAAATTACTGGTTGGCGACCTATCCTTGCCAAATACCCAATTTCATCATGGCATCATATGCATGTGTTACAACTGTTCATATTTTACAAATCAGTTTTTCTGTTTTAAGATGATATATCACTGAATTTTTGTCCAGTTTTAGAGCCAAATACAGGCTGCGTCCCCTAGAAAAAAAAAGTATTGTATTTTTCCCTGAATGAAGAAAATATGAAGAAGATGTTCCAAACTTCAATCAATGTCCTATAATGAATGGACTGACAGTCTTGTGCTAACAATAATAATGCTCACAGCTTTTCATCCTTGCCTTATTGTATACTTAGTACTGTTCAAATCAAGTCGATATCGGAATCGAAAGTTACAAAATCGCAGATTGGACATAAATATATATATAATAACATATGTTTTTATAAGTTATTCATGCCATAAAACTAGTAATCAGTCAGGTGTTAAAATTGGATACGGTTAGATTAATTTAGGCCTTTACCTGGGATGACCCATAAAGCCACATTGTGGCTTAATAGTCCAATGAGGCCCCTTAAATGGAGACTTGAATGTACATTAACACTGAAATCGAGATATTTGACATATTACTGGATTACTACAGTTTGAGCATGAGTCATAAAGTTTATAACTTATCGATACTGCAGATTCTACTAATTTGTAAAATATGAACAGTTGTAACACATGCGTATCATCATTGAATCAGAGACATGGTTAGACAAGGACATAAAGGACTCTGAAATCTGCCTCCTGGATATGTACTTCACAGGAAAGACAGGAACAACAACAAGAGGCCCATGGGCCTTAACGGTCACCTGAGTCTATAGTATTTATTTTTGTTGTTGAAATATGTACCAATTTGAGTAAAAAATAGTATAATGTTAACTTAACTTTGTCAGGACCATGAGCTGATCATTCCTAGACCAATTTTAAGTGAGATCGGCCTATTAGAACTTAGTAGCAAAATAGCGGCCATGGCAGCCAAATTGTATTTCTGATTGACCCGAAAAATAACAACACTTTGTCAGGACCAT